TTTTTTTTTTTTTTTTAAAGAAACCACGCCTAAGCCGAAGAACAAGAAAAATTGTAGTTTGTTGAGTGAGAAATAATTTTGTGGACGTCAGGGAGGTTGAAGGCTCTGAAAAACATAGCATGTATAGAGGAAATGGTCGTGTGTTATGTTGAGTTGATTCGCCTTTACGAAAATTTGAAGAAGCCATGTGCTTTGCCCCTATAACATGAAAGCCTCTTTTTCTTTCTTTTTGTTTTTTCTTCAAAAAGATGAAACCGTGTCTTAGGCTAAACCACTATTAGTATTAACTTAGTTACTAATTAAGAAGGGTGACATTTGGAGAAAACATAGTGCGAAATAAAATGTAGTACAGTCAGATTTATTTATAACAATTATTACTGCAATACACCTATAATAATATTTAACATTTAAATCTCATTTGATTAATTGTTATTATATACAAAAATATCCAAAAAGGCAATATTTCATTTCTTAAAGTTATAAAAGCTAAAAAAAATAATTTAAAATATTTTTAGTTACCGAGTACGTATCGATATAATATTCTTTGTCAAAAGTAATGTACTATATTAAATAGAGTAAAATCTACTTTAGCCCCTTAACCTTTAAGAATTGGAAATAATAACCCCTTCACATTTTGAATGCGAAAGGGAACCCCCTTATGCAATATTTTTTTTGGTGATAGTTTCCTTTTTAAGATAAAGATTTTTTTCCCTCTATCTATCTTTTCAAAGGTGAAGTATAATATTTTTCATCTAATTCAATACTTGAATTTCGTCTTTCTTGCCTGTAAAATTTAAGATATTTTTCTATTATATTGAGGTTATAGTAAGGCCGTTGTTCAAATTTTTGCAATAAAGAAAAAATAATGCATACAAAATTCAAGAAATATGATGAACTGCATTCACCATTGATGCTTTAACATTTCAATTTAAAGGGAAAAAATACACTGAATTAGTCAATTCTCTAACATATATATTAGATGAAAGAATTAATGCTATGAGTATTAATTTATTTGTGTATTTTCTCTGTATATTAAAATTATTATACTAAAGCAATTATTAAACTTTACTTATTTTGAAAATATCTTTATTGAACAAAAATTATAGTTGATAATGTCACATTTGAAAATTCATTATGGAGGCGTTTTTGCATTACATCATATTTTAAACTATGCAAGAAGAAAGCTAAAGGGGAACTCCATAATTATATAGATCCTAATTGTTTGTCATATCTTGAGCTTTTGGCTATATGAAAGAACTTGATTATTCTAAAAATTATCTATTCAAAAAAAATTATTTTATTAAAAAATTCTTTCACTGGAAAACTATTGAACAAGGGGGTTCCCTTTCCCATTCAAAACGTGAGGGGGGAGGGGAGGGGGTATTGTTTCCCAACCCTTAAATGTTAAGGGGGTAAAATGGAATTTATTCTATTAAATATTTCAACACATTTGATCAAAATACTAGACCTATTATGGTTAACATAGACTTAGAGATTCTATTTCAATATGTGATTTTATGACAACAAAGCATTACTAGTGTTTTTTTAATTATTATATGAAAATAAGTGACTAGCAACAGAAGAGAGGTAACTTTTACAAAGAATGAACTGTTACTTAATCCTAACTTATTATTGTCAAGACATTTTCTCTGACTTGATAGAAAATCTTATATTGAAAAACTTTATCTTTCATACCGCACAGTTATACCATCCGTACATGGATAATTCAGTTCGGAGCTAGAGGTAAAAAATTAAGGAATTAAATAATTTCATCTTGAATGTCCCTAATGCTGTAAATTATTGTCGTATTAATTGACTATGTGAACGTTACTTTATTATAATTTTCAGAGTTTATATTCTACCAACAAAGACGGCAAAAGTCCAGAAGTAGAGGTTTCAGACCAGCCCTAACTAGGGTACTAAGCAATGCATTGTGGATCTGAGATTTCGAGAATGAAGACATTTATATATGAGTTTGTAGCGAATAAGCAGAATAAAAATCTTACGAGATTGATAAGAAAATTAAACCAAAAGTACAAATACAGTCAGATTTCTCTATAACAACATCCATATATATATAACAACACTTCACTATAAAAGCCAAGCTTTTTCTAGGACCAATTTTCATGTTGTGTTATAATATATGTTCCCTATAACAACACTTTGCTATAACGTCTAAAAATATTCGGAACAAATCAGGCTGTTATAGACATGTTTGAGTGTACACAAAAAGTGTAAATTTCAAATCTCTCGTCTTAACGAAATTTACATCTCATGAAAAAAAAAACATTAATTAACAAAAGCACACACTTCGGAATAACCACTATGACTACGCCTCAGATCTACGAATCCTGGGCGCAACAAAAGGAAATAAAAACACAAAATCAAAAATACAAAGCTCTCGAGAGATTCAAGAGTTGTTCCTAGCGCAGCGTGTAATTTGACTGCAACCACGGCGATAAGGATTAACTCTCTGTTGGGAATGACAATTGTAATAAGACGCACCTCGTACATTACAAGGAATATTGTTTCTGGACAATGCTGCATAGCTAATATGGCCTTTTTGTCCTCGTAAAACTCGACGACTAATATCAGATTCCATCATCATTTCTTCTTCCTCCTTTATACAATTTCCAATAAGGCCATTGCATTTCCTCGTTGAAGCTGCAGTTGCATGGCCGCCATGCATGATCGATAGCTGATCGAAGTTCTTGTACAGATTCTTGAAATCATTATATGATGATGATATTGGATTAACTAACATGGCTAGTGAGAAAAAGAAAATTATACATAGGCGGAAATCCATTTTATTTTTGTTGGTGTGTGTGTGTGTTGGGTGGGGGGGGGGGGGGGGTGGAGGGTAACTAGGGTTGTGGGAAGAGAAAATGAAGTTGTGTCTCAGTCTATAGGTATATATATTATTGGTTTCTTGTTATGTGGGGTGGAAAGTGGAAAAAAATGGAAATTATTTAGTGGTAGGATACGGTTATGGTTTTAGATAATTTTGGTTCATCTCATGTTATACGTGATTTGAAGTGATTTACGCATAGTAGTAGAGTAACGTCTGTTTTGAAATGCCCGGGTCTTGCTCATTATCTTGCTTGGATTCAGGACTTTATATAGCTCATCCATTACTTCTATTTTTGGTATGGGTGATCGGGAGGGGCCGAGGGGGTGGTCAGTGGTGGAAGGGTAACAAATAATTCGAACCTAGTGTGTAAACCAATCCAAACTAATTACCATGGTTAAGTATAAATGTATGTATTAATTCACTACAGTTTAGTGTAAGTATACATAAAGATATGTGTCATGTATTCACTGAATTGATATAAATAAAAGGTGCAGATAAATTTTTATCATGGTATAAGTGTACATAATAATAATATACGCTAAAAAAACCGATGACACGCCCCTTATTAACAACGTTTAGAAATCTGTTTTCTGACTCAAATCACCATTTTATCGAAATTGTAGATTTTTCTTTTATAATTTAATTGTAATGATAAGAACAAATGGAATTAATGATAGGAATATAATCACCCTTTGGTGATCACTACTTGTTTCTCTGTACGGGCAGGAAGAAATTAAGATAAGAAATGAGCGTCAATGTGGGGCTACCAGAGTATTATTTATGATGAAGAATCAAAGACGTTATCGTTTTTCATGTTCTTGGTTTAAATATTCTTAATCTACCATGAGCATTTATTACTAACAAAGTACTCTGCCAAATGATTAAAAAAAATTATCTCCTGCCAATTATTAATTAAATCATATAAATGTCGTTTAATTATTTATATTAAGTTTAAATTATATGCACTGCGAATGTAAATAACTTCTATAAACGGGTTACAACATGCTATTTACTATATTTTCTAAGTTACACATCAAATTTTGCTATAAACATTTATTTCTGGGGTTTTTATACAGTATATTCGCCCCTTACAATAAGTCGACATATATATATATATATATATATATATATATATATTATATATATATATATATAATAATATATAATATTGTGTATATTTTATTTTGGATAGCAACTCTAATTATATTCGGCTGACCATACAAATGTGCTGAAAGCCCAACATTTATTTGGTAAGTTTTTGTTGGGAACGTGGAGAGTACATGATGTAGGGGTGATTTGCACAAATAGGATCATTTGGTGCAGCAATTTAATTTTTACCTCGATAATAAAAGTTCATGAGAAAATAGTCTGCAACCAGAATTTGGGATGCACTCTGAGAATAGCCAGAATTTTTCATATGGTGATCATAGGATTTGCCACAAAATATGGCAAGGGATTCGCCGAGATTATCAAAACAAAAACATGGCAATTCCCAGAATTCTAGAAAATTCTAGTGATCTCTAGAACGGCCCAATATTCCAGCTAGAGGTATTTTTCTAAGATTTTTTATCGGAGTCAAAATTTAAATGGTGATCCTTAAAAGGTCCACCTAGCGTAATTTGTCAAAAAGGCCTAGTCCGACCTAACTCATTGTAACGATCCGACTGATCGTTTTGCTTTCTAGAATAAGAATTCTCCTAAATAAGACTTTCCGTACTTTGCTTTTACTGATTTATGACTTGCGGGTATGGTTGGTCGGGATTTGAAAGAGTTTGGGTTGAAATCGGAACCACTTGGGGCCTTAAGGTTGGCTTAAAAGGCCAAGTTTGACTTCGGTCAATATTTTGAGTAAACGACCTCGGAATCGGGATTCGAAGGTTCTAACAGGTTCGTATGATGATTTCAGACTTGGGCGTATGCTCGGATCGGGTTTTGGGTGACCCGGGGGCGTTTTGGCACCTAATAGTGAAAATTGGTTCTTGAAGGTTTTTAGAAGTTCTTTAAATTTGGTTTGGAGCAAGTTTTTGTGATATCGAGGTCCGAACGGAATTCCAAGACTGGGAATAGTTCCGTAATATCATTTAAGATTTTCAAGCAAAATTTGGTGTCAATCCGAGTAGTCTAAGTATGATTCGACGCGTTCGGAGCGATTTAGAAACTTGAAGTTCAAAGTTTGATTCAATTTGGTTTTGGGGTGTGATTCTTGATTTTGTTGTTGTTTTATGTGTTTCGAGAGTTCGAGCAAGTCCGTATTATGTTTATAGACTTTTGGAGTTGTTGGACAGGGTCCCGAGGGGCTCGGGTGCGTTTCGGACCACCCCGAGTTGAGATGAAACACACTAGATTTTCTGCTTCAGGTTTCCTTCTTCGCGAACGCGATTGCACCCTTGCATTCGCAATGAAGGATTTGGGGTGCTGTGGGCTGGGAAACTTTTTCTCTTTGCGTTCGCGTGCCGAGGATCGCGTTCGCGGAGGTCTGGGTCCTCTAGCCTTCGCGTTCGCGTGACATGGATCGCGTTCGCGTAGAAGAGGCTGAGATGTGGCCACTGTTGATTCTTCGCGTTCGCGAAGAAGCCCTCGCGTTCGCGTAGGGTAGGCCATGTTAGCCTCCGCGTTCGCGAGGCAACTCTCGCGTTCGCGATGAGTAAGTTTCCCTGGGCTGGACCGTTTGCCTTTGCGATTGCGAAGCCTCTTCCGCGATCGCGAAGAAGGCAGACCTGGGCAGTGAACTTTTAAAAACGGGACTTAGGCCATTTTAGCTCATTTCTTCCATTGTGGTGCGATTTTTGGAGCTCTTGGAGAGGGAATTTCACTTAGCACTTTGAGGTAAGTAATTTCTACACAATGTGAGTTAAATACATAATTTATGGGTAGATAGATTATAACATGTAAATTAGTGAAAATCATGGGTTTAGGTGAAAACCTAGGGTTTTGCTAAAGATGAGATTTAACCACGAAATTTATTATGGAATTTAGTAGAAATCATATATTTATGTTCCTTAGGTTATGGGTAACAACTTCCTTTAAAAATTTCCGCAATCGAGCATGTGGGCCCGGGGTTGAATTTTGGGAATCTTGCAATTTAGGTTGGGTAATCACTTAAATGGGAGAATTGTGAACTTCTGAGCGTTGATTGATTAGTTTATGTAATATTTGACTAGTTTCGAGTCGTTTGGCGTCAAATTTGGAGGTTGGAGCATGTTCTTGAATTGGGAAGTAGGCTTGAGACGAGTTAAGTCTCCTTTCTAACCTTGTAAGAGGGAAATTTCCCCATAGGTGAATTTAATTAAAAATGTGAGTATTTGTGGAGGCTATGTACGCACGAAGTGATGATTGTTGATACCAAATATATATATATATATATATATAGACACACACACACACACTCACTTTCAAAATAGTGCATATGCATCATCATTTGATTTACAGGCATGCACAAGTATTTTTTCATAATTTCCCATAATTTTTAAAGGCTTTAAATCAATTTGTTTCTATATTTTATTATATAAATATCCAATAATTACCCTCTAAATTATTTTTTATAATGAGTTAATCATCTAAACTTATCATTTATACCAGCATAATGTTTGAATACTTTTCAATGCATTTCTATAATTACATTTACATTTTACAAGGCTAAATTGCACATTTTACAATAATAGCCCATACTCATGTATAATTATATTATTTATGCATAAAATAACTTTTTATATTTTTATAATGTTAAGTTGTTATTTTAAATCATTTTCATGCACAAGTGATATATTTTTTATTTATTAATTATTTTTTATAAATTATTTATTGGTTAAATTGGGTATTTAAAATATAGCCCCCTAAAACTCCAATTTCGGACCTATACACTACCCAATTACCCCAGCCCAAAATACCAAACCCAATACCCCAGTCGAAGACCCTTTAACCCAGTCCTGTACCCGTCCAAATTACCCGACCTAGTATCTTTAAATTAGGACCGTTGATCTCCCAAAATCGACGGTCCACATCACTTCAACCCTTTTTAACTAACCTACCCGGCCAAAACCCTAAATCATTTTCACCCAGCCTACCATCTCTGTTCACTCCCTCTCTCATCTTCTCCCCCTCTCCTCTCAAAACTCTAGCGTCGTCATCACCCTAATCTCTCCGATTCCAACCCCATAATGGAATCAATCGTTGATTCCTTACCTTATTTGGCCCCTCCTTACTGTCTACCCGACTTTGGTATTACCTAATGGCTTGCCTAAAATGGCAAGCATATCTTGAGAGATTCGAACCAAATTTGGTTCAAAATCCTTAACCTGTTGTGTATTCTATTTGTGTTCATCCCGTGTTCTTTGTGAGTACAGCCGTTTTATGTATCTCTTGTGGATTCTTACTTAGCCCTAAAGGTTAGGGTTTCAGATTCTCTTTGATTCTATATTCACTTCATTACGCGTGAATCTGCCTATCACTGCTAATTTCCTTTATTTGCCCTAAATTAGGGTTTCAGATCTTTTTCTAGTTCGATTCTTTGTTGCTTCTTGAATAAATCTCCTGTCTATGTTCATTATACACAGTATGTGATTATTTTTCCCTTGTTTCCCTGCTGATTTTATGGTTTACCTGAAACTAGGGTTTGAGACTTTTATTCTTTCCTTTCTCGTATGGTACTGATATTTTCCTTATTTTGTTCAATCTACCATGTTTCCAATATTTCTTTACCTTATTTGCCTTGAAACTGATTGTTAACTGATATTTTTCCTTATTTTAAATGTTACTCACCTGATTACACGCTATTATACCCTGTTAATTTACTGAACTCTGTATTATTTATTCTGTAATTAATTTCTTTCCTTACTTATATGTGCTTGATTACTTCCCTTATTTGTTCGCCTAATTGAACACTATTATCCTTCTCCCTTTCCCCTTTAGCAGATTGGAACTCTCAATAATCTCACTAAGAAATCTAGGGCTTAGTTCTATAATCTTTCTACTTTCTCTTGTTTACTACTGG